TCGTTACCTTCATTCACTTCCTTTTATTCTCTCTCAAGCTCATGACTTGAAATCTTTACCTTCTATATTAGAGTGACTGCCAAATTTATATCTCTACATAAACCTTTATCTCTACCTTGATTCAAGATGTTGGTTCAAGAAACTGGCTTTTTGATGTCTTTACTTGGATGTCTAAGGGTCACCTCAAATTAAACATGTCCAAAACTAAACTTATTTTTGTACTCTGCTTCTCCCCAAACCCTTCTATGTTCTTCCTTTCCATCTTAATTAATGGCAAATCTATTCTTCCAGGTATTCAGATAAAAAATATAGTAATCCTTTTTGACTTCTCCTTTTCTTTCACAGCCCACAGCAAATTGATCAAGGAATGTGATCTTTAAAATATATGAAGAATCTATCACTTCCATGGTTACTACCCTGGTTTGAGCCTGGACCCTGACCAAGTCTTATCTGGAGCATCACCTCTTACTCTCCCCATTTCTCCATGCTCTCCTACAACCTACTCTCACTACATCTGCCAGAGTAACTTTTTTAAAGTATCAAGTCAGATTATTCTGACTCTCATTGTCTCTCTCTCTCTTTTCCCCCTTTCCAGATGTGCTACATTCCTAATTGTTCCTGAAATGCCTTTCTCTAGATAATCACCTTATCTCCATCAGATACTTGCTCGAATGAGGTGGTCCTCATTTTATTTTTAACTATTTTCACTCTCCATACCAGCACTCTTAGTCTTTCACACTCTGTTTCAATTTCTCATCCTCTCACACCTTTTTAATTTAGTTTTTAATGTGTTCATCATTTACAAACTGTCTCTACACACTAGGTTACAAGCTTCACACAAGCAGGCAAGGTTTTTGTCTTCTTTTATTTACTCTACACCTAGAGCGATAGCCAGCACAGAGTAAGTACTCAGTAAATATTTGTCAAATGAATAAGTAAATGAGTGAGAAATGTATAAGCAAGAAGTAAGAACATTCTGGAATATAATCCCCTTTTAAACTCTTAAATACCTTGACAGTACTAGGAGTCATTGTTATACACATTAAATTAGGAAAAAATCAGTCCCTATGTTAGACAACCAAACAAACCAAAAATGTATGGAAAAGGCTCTTGAAAGAATTAATATTATCTCAGGTAAAGACTATGAACCAGAGCATGTAAAAGTAAACCACTTTTGAAAATCACGAACAAAATGCTCAAAGAGTAAATGATTGTACCAGAGTCATCTACAAAGATTTTAATCTTCTGCACAATACAAATTGGGGTAAATAAAAAAGCAAGTTAAGTCTCACAAGTGCAGGAATGAAAATTAGTTCTATATCCTTCTTAGGAGAACCATGCAAATAATAATAAAAGTGCTGGAGAAACACAAGACTACACAACTCTAGAGAATCCATGAGCCAGACAATGTGTTTGTGAATCCTCTCTAGGTCCCTTTTTTCTCCTTCTTATGTTTATTGCCTAATATTTGACCACTTTCTTGTTTGTTAGCAACTCTCACAGGAGAGCAACCTAAAGAAACAGAGGGAAATTTACGCAAATTAAGGCAACTCCTTAATAGCAGCCAGGAAGAATATGTGGGGATCTTAGTCTGGACAGTAAGAAGCATGTGGTATTATTAGATTGGCACAAAAGTAATTGAGGTTTAAAGTATTCACTAAATGATTACTGAATATATTTTTGGAAATTGGCTGCTAACATTAGCTTGATTCAATTCAATTAAGGTGAGCGTTAAGTCTGTCTAAAATATGGTCAACGGATAGGATAAAAAGAACTCATGACATATTTGAATGCGTAAAACAAAGAAGGAAAAAAGAGAAAGAGGAAGGATGGATAGATACAAGTCTCTGCTATGGAAATCATCACAGAAGGTAATTTAACATAACAGAAATCTATCTAACGTAAAAGAGAATTAAGGTCAAACCTGCCTCTGCCACTAACTAGCAGTCAGTGGTAAGGTTGGAATACCTAACTTTTCAGAATCTACCTTCTTACTTGTAAAATAGAGATAAAAAATTTAAAATTTAAAAACAGAGAGTAATATACTTTTCTCCTAATGCTGTTATGATGATTAAATGGATACATTATGCAAAACACCTAATATATAAAACCAGGTATCTGTTCTCCACAACCAAATTCCAGTGTCTATCATGTTATCTGCCTGTTTGTTCAAGTGTTGACAATCATCTCATTTGTGAATTCATTTTTCTTTTCCATTTTGTAAGGATAAAACTCTGAAGAAATATCTAGAGGGTAATTAACATATGGCTAAAACTATCATGGGAAATATTAAAAAACAGATTAAAAAGTACAACTGGGACCTGTTTTAAAATGAGAGGCAGCCTATTGATAAAAATGAGCTTTTTCTTAAATTGCAGGAAAGTATTGTACATGCTCTATTTAAAAATTATAGAACAACATCTCTTGGAGGAGGGATAAGATTTCTTTCCTTTTATACACACCAAAGTACAGAAAATGCTTTGCTCTTTGTAAAGTTGTTTGATTATAAGTTCTATGGGAAGAGCGTTCTTTGTTTCATTTATTACTGGCTGACTTGAATAGTATGTGGCTTGTAATTGGCAATTAGGAAATAGTTTTGCATGAATACAGTATGCACAGATTATAGAGTACTTGGCTCAGGGATGGGGGTCCATCTGTCTCTGCAGGTGATCCATACACACATAAAAGAATAAATAATAACAAGACAGGATTTGAATGGCATCTAGATAAAAGGCAAAGCAGCTATTCTCACAGTTCCTGAACCATCATTCATAAAGTCCTGGCCAAGCAACTATTCTCACAGTTCCTAAACCATCATTTATATACTCCTGGCATTCTACTGAAAATCTCACAGTCCATATGCAGTATATATTAGTATATATATAAACAGATATAAAGTGACTAATAATTTATTGACTCCCAAAAATATGGTATCTTGAAATAACCAAAATATCCCCTTCATGGTAGAAAAATAATAAAAAACAAACAACAGGTAAAAGTTTGGAAAAATGATTTCTACTCCTCTACTTAACAGCTAAATTCTAAACCTTAGTTTTTGTTTATTTTAAAAGTACTGTTTATATAATAAAATTACATCAAAAATTTTTTGTTATTTAGACTTTAGGATAATGTACAAACAGCTAATAAATGAGCACAATGTATTTAATAATAATAATATGATATATTAAATTTCCAAGCCAAAATGATTTTTAGAATGCATAGTTAATAGTATGAATAAGCACAATATATTTAAACTGTAAACCATACAGGCTCAAGTGGGCATTGATAGATGTTGTCCTCATTCTAATTATTAATTAGTTCAGAGTTTGTGAAGGTAAATAGCATTGCCTACATGTCTCTTTGCCAACTCTCTTACTAGAGCAAATGAAACCAACAATACAGAGAACAATGAAAAATAATTTTCTAATAAATCTTTTATCCTCTAAAGTTGTTTGAGAAGAAAGGTCACTTTCTGACTCACTAGCTTACCTTTTGGTGCTCTTATCTTTTTCTTCATCATACATATTTTTATGTATTATGCTCTATTTATGCATTCTTCAATAGCATCTTTATTTATGACTTTGTGAATCAACATCTTTGTAATAGGAGGCGAAAGTCACTTAGCTAATTACACATGCTTGATAAGCTGCATAATAATAACTACTGCAGTATTGTACATTAGTTGAAGGTATGTAAATTACTGCAGTTATTTTCATTTGCAGAAAAAAAGACTTTTTTTAGTTGTTTAAAACACCCTTGTTGCCTCCACATCCATCTTCTTAAGTATACTGTGCTTTTAACCCAATTGATAATATCAATAAAGAATGAAGGTTAAATCCCACTCTACCAGTATTACCCAAGAAATAAGAGCAAAGACAAAACAAACAAACAAAAAATCCTCAATGTAATGCAAATACTTCTGAACTGAGTTACGAATTTTGTTATTTATAAAGTGTCTTCCACATAAATGCAATCCCATTAAAACAGAACAGTTTAGACATTCCCTGCCCCACAAGGATGCTATAATGAAATCTGATTTGGTCTAGTCAGGAGATTAGAAGTGCATAGAGAGAGAGAATGTGCAGCATTAGAATATTAATGACTTCTGTATGAAGATTGGAAATTCTACAAAGTTATGAATAAGGTCAAAATAACACTTAGATGATTTACTGCCATAGAAAATCATACTCTCCTATGAGTGATTTACTGAATGTTATATAAAAGCGGAGTGTGGACAAGCTACATTCAGATGCAAGCTTGCAGCTGTCAGTGTCTACATTTGCTCAATCTGGCTAGAGGATGATTTGAAGGTTGATTTAATTGTAGCTTCTGAATCATGCACTTCTCTATGTTTTAAATTGTTTAACGTAAATATAAAAATGTTAAAGTAATTTTAAGACTGTAAATATTTAGTATCAAATCTGCAAAATCTCATTCTCCTCTGGAAAAGTGACTGAAAACGAAAAGACTAAGAAAAAAAACACTATTACCTTGATAACAATAATTGCTCAATAATTATGGAAAATTTACCCTTAGGATGAGAAAGTCCATAGAGTGTTCAGAAGGAATGCTGAGAATAAATGAAAAACTAGATTTGTGATTGAGTGATCAAATTTTAAGAGGAGCACAAATATGTATCTGTAGAAAAGAGTTCAGAGATCAAAGATCAAAGTTACCAGTTAGTAAGACAGCATTGTTTGGGCTCCTTGCAGGTATCATAATAGCCTATATAAATATTCCACTACACACAAACTCAAAGCAGAGATTCAACTCTTACCGATGCTACCAGCACCAGAACACAAGACACAACCAATGAACCAATGTAATCTACTCAGCTAGAGCGCTCCTTAACCACCTTTCTATTTTGACAGACTTCATCAGATTTCAAATATCACCTAATCATTTACTTCCCAGCATCAGCAAATCATCCTTAAGGAGAATATCTTGTTCTTCCTCTGCAAGCCTTTTCCCCCATTTTTAATTTCCACTTTTATACATACCTCCTTTTCTACATATTTTCTTGCCGGGCTTTCTGGCACATTCCTTGGATATTCTTTTTACTGAAAAATGAATAGAAGACTAGAAAATAACATGGCGCTCCATCACAGACCGCCGGAACATGCAACACCACTATCTAACTCAATACGCTCCTGCATTTACTGAGTGCGAAAGATCCCCAATTCGTTGAGCCTGCACATGCAATGAGGAAATGTTGATGCATCTTCTCAGAAGTCATTTGGTAGGAAATGGAAATTAGAAACCCATTTCTACCTAAATATACGTGCTGTGGAGGAAAGAAAATGAGTAAGCACAGGAAAAAAATAAGTACAGATACACTGACACACATAAACAAAAAGAGCACCATGCACGCATGTAAAATATGTCTACATGCCAACAGGAAAAGCCATGCATACTACCAGTACACATGAATTAATATTGTTAGAACTTAGAATAGAAAAAAATATAAAAATATATCTCCTTGTTTTTCCTGCAATAAACTCACCATCCTCAGTTGGGACATATATATTTAGATATAGGCAGTCTTCACTCTGGTCTTGTACATATGATGAAACCACATCCAAGTTATTAGTAAACCACACAGGAAGCATGACTTCTGGCAGTCTGCCATCAATGATATTCTGGGGACACACAGGAGCAAATTGAGTGGCATTTCTGATATCTGACCAGGGAGATGGTGGTTCTGGAGGCTGAAAACGACGTTCCCCTGTTGGTGGGGCTGCATATGGAACCCCAAGAAATTGAATAACAGGCCCCAAAATTTCATTATTGAGTTCCTTCTTAATCCCTCTTATCTTTCCAAAGTTGGTAGTCACCAGTGGGTCCACATCATCCAATTTTTGTGATAGCACATGACCAGCCTGAAGCAAACATCCCAACATACAGAGAGTCAATGGGGCACCCAGTCCCCTGTGTACCACACATGCCATCACTGCTCTCCAAACATAATTTTGCCACATGCATCTGGGCAGTGCCATGGTCCCACATTAGGTGTCTAGTTGTCTGGTTACAGTGAGGCAAACGTATTTATATCCACTTGAGAAACACTGTATAATGGTAGAATATACCTCCGATTTCTTAAAGGGGAGCTTGTCGAGAAAAGTTCTGAAAGATCTTCAGACAGCAGGTATCTCCCATTGATTTCACATGTATTGGAGCAGCATCTTCAATCATTACTCTTTATCAGACCATATCCTATTCAACATTCTGTTTTCCATATTAGCAATGTGGCAAGAGTGGGCATTGACTGTAGTTTTCTCTCTTATAAATCAAATCCAGTTAGCTGCGGGTCTATATCCTAGAAAAAATGAAAATAAATCATGAGTTGGAACAAGCTAACATAGACAGTGTGATAACTAGATGTTTTACAATCTACAGAAATACATTAATAATGACTAGCATCAGGGAAGTTAAATGTTACCATAGGAAAATCATGGGTTGAAGTGAGATGACAATTACAAGATTATGGAGAAATGTGTCTGCTGACATCATATACATTTACGTGGAAGCAGGCCTTGTTAAAATACACAGTTTTAGAAACATGTCACAGTAAAGTATTTAAAAATACTGAATGTTAGGTGTGAAATTTATACTTTATTAATAGTCTTCAATCACTTCAAGCTATAGAAGATTAATTTATTTCAATTTTAAAACCCAATAGCAGAAAATATTTTAAGAAACTGGCAGTAAACTAGCAGAACAGATACAAACTCTGTAAGAATGACTGTATGCATTGGAAAACACACAAAAAGGTGGTTCCCAACCCTATGCTTATCAAAAAAAGGAAGATAATATCAGGACAAGAAAACTAATATGAGTTCAGCTATGATTATTCAGATGAAACTACCTCACTTCCTTGCTGTATCTCAAAAATCTTCATAAAATTTTGCTTATAAGTTTCCTATTTGAAATTAAGATTCAATAATTTAAAAGAGAAAATGGCATTGGATACAATTTGTAAAAAAGATAGAAGTTTACATCTTTTTTTGCAGACAAGTTATTTTACCATCTTGCTATATATTATAGATATCAATAAATTTGCAATGCAAAAATTAATTTATGAGTCAAAGTCAGTATATTTTAAATTACAATTTTTTTCTCACTGTCCGTTAGAGATCAAAGGAAGATTACAAAAAGAGAGTGTGGTGATTAAAAAAACAAAAGTGCCTAATCATGGCATCTTGCATATTAACACTAATCAAACATCTATCACTGTTTACAAAGTTCAACTTAAAATGCATCAGAATAAAATGTAACATTCGGTGCAATGCAGTCCTCGGAGTAATCTGAGGTTAACTGTCAAATAACGTACAGCTCAAAAAATGTGTCTTTTCTTGTTCAAGCAACCTTTTGAAGTGTTTACTTTGAAAATAAACTGCTGATTTGTACTAGAGATGATTCTATCCTGTATATTATGGGAAGATTCCTAAAGAAGTGTTGGTCTGGCAGTGAGACTGCCCTGACTTTCTGTTGTTTAAAAGGAGATTGTAAAAACTATATAGGGCGGCAGGAGATTTGGTTCTGGCCTAGTGTGTCTTTATCTCTGAACAATCCATCACAGAAGGCTATAAGGAGATAAATGTCTTTCTTTGAAAATACTTTAGTCTGGGTTAATTCACATACCTTTGCTGTGAAAGCACATTAACATACAAAAGACAGGCTTAGACCAATCCAATTCCTGTTCCAGAACTCTGGCATTTATCGAAGATTCAGCTACACAAACGCATTTTTGTAAAGTGTATATCATGCTTATTCTTGCGCAGCATCATAGTGGGCCACAGCATGAACGAATCTTTGCAAGTTCCTTTTGGTGTTAAAAATGCACTATTTGGACACCTAACCTAGAGAACCTGTGGTGAGGTTTTAAAAGTCTCCATCATTATTTTTTATTCAACCTAATTTTCAATTACTCTACAGCAATTTCCAAAAATTTTTCTTCGCACAACTGATATCAAATACTTGTTTTGTTATTAATAAAATAACACTCCTTTTTTTGTACTTAGAAATCCCTAACTGTGTTAAGGATAAAGAAGCTCCTGTTTCCCACTGATGTGCTGCTTTAATGCAAATTGCAGAGGATTGGAATTCTGCATGCCATGATGGATTTTCAAATTTGAATGATGTTTAGCTCCTGAGGTTACAAAAATACCCCCTTTTACATGTTGTATGTACGGAGAACTATAGTATTGACCCCCCAAAATTTTCAGAAATTGCTACTATAATAACAGCAGTCATCCAGATCAAATGTAAAAATATGGCTTATTTAAAGTACTAAAACTTAAAATACATATATATACCTAAATAGAAAGTCTCAAATTTGCTGACAATTTTACCCCTATTTATTGATGCTTCCTTAGTGTATACAAAATCCTCAGTTTTCATGCATTTATGTCTCATTGACAACAACCCTATGAAGTAGATTCACAGTTATCACCTTCTTACTCATGAGGAACTCAGACTTGAAGAGGTGAATTTCACCTTGGCCAGAGTCTCTTAGCTAATTGTTAGCAAATCCAGGCACCCACTGCTATCTGATTTAAAGGTCATCCTTATGATCACCACACATGATAGTCTCTCAATTCAAAATTATCACTTTTTAAGAAATTGATCCTAGTGTATTTAAAATTGAATTGTAAAACTATTTTATGTTTCTTCAGAAGATGAAGTCTCAGTAAATATTCTGACACTTTCACAGGACAGAGAAATAAAAAATGGTCTACCCTATTCTTATGGGAAGTTAATATTTCATTTTGCTATATATTTTTATACATATTTTACTAGCTTTACCCTATATTGAATGTGGTGATAGGTTTCTCTTATGTCATTACACAAAATCATGTTAAAACAATGATTTGTGTAATAATTTGTGTAATAATATTTATTCGGAACCAAAAAACCCCCAAACTATGACAACCTAATTGTCCAGCAATAGATATTGATAAATTAATTATGATGTATTCACAAATTCAAATTATATACGTTAGTGAAAATAAAGGGCCTAAACCCAAAATATCAACATATATAAATCTCAAAATTTTTGACAAAACAAGTCACAGAAAATTAGGTACAGTAAATACTATTTAAAGAAAACTTAAATTATGTAAAAGAATATTATATATTATTCTCAAATACATAAATATATAGTAAAAGGATAGTTGTCATCTCTAAGTAAAAAGGAAAAAGAGTAAGGCTTATTCTAGCAACTAATAACTTAATTGGGCCAATTATTTAATTGACATCTAAGACAGATAACCTGTGGTAAGGCCCTAAAAGGCCAGCAATGAACTACAGCAAGTTTGACAAAACCTTAGTATTTGAATTCTCTGTATTCTTTTGTATGTTTAAAATATTTCAGAATACACTAAAATAATAAGGCCAGAAAACTCTTACTCAGTAGACCAAATCATGTATTACCCGTAGATTAGCCTATCAATCCACATGCGACTAGCTTCGTCTGACTTCGAAGTTAATGGGGATACTAGCTCATAAATTTCCTCATTATTCCTCTTTTTGACTTAAAGCATGTATAGTCCCACTAAAAGAATAAAATCAAAATAAATAATATTTAAAAGGGCATCACAAATGGTAATACATTTTCTCCCTTACATTAATTCATCAAAAGCTGGTCCCTCAACTAGTTTGTTTCTGAGAAACTCAGAAAAAGGAGTAGGGAGAACCGTATGGGATGTTAGATAGTTATTTTGGGTGGCCACATTCATCCAATCTTTCATCCACTCAGCAAACATTAGATATTTACAATGCGTAAGCTACAGCACTGAATGTTAAGGAGAATTGAAAGACATGCACAGTCTACTCATTATTCCCAAGTAGCTTACGCCATTGTAAAGGAATAAGTAATCTAAAAAAATTACTCTAATGCTAGATGCAATGTGACATGTGTTCAATAAATACAAGATGAATATGGGAGTGGGACCTAGCAGAAAATATCAAACTTCTAACTTTATGTACCTTTTACATATCTTTTTCTAAAAAAAAAAAAATAAACCTTTTTATTTCTACCTTGCTTTGTTTTATTGTTTGCATTTATTTGTTTTCTTGTTGAACTCAACTCCTCCCTGTTAAGTTTCTTACTTGGGGCAAGATTTTGCATGTGTGTTTTAAAAAATAACTTTATGTTCCCCATAAAATCTATATGAAAATTTGTTACATAGTGCAAGCGTGGTTAAATCTCAGTTGGTGTGGATTGACAGCATGCTTACTGTTAGAGCTCCCTGGCTTGATGGTGACCCTTAACCAACATTATACAATATACAGTGGATCCTTGTTATTCATGGTAGTTATGTTCTATAAAGTCATCATGAACACTAAATTAGGGAACACAGACCTTTTGCTTTTAAAAACATACACATGTATATGTGTGTGTGTATATATGTGTGTGTGTGTGTACACACATGTACATAGATATACCCACATATATAGATATATAAATCTCACATAGATTATAGGTTATAATCCATAATGCTTGTAGCTAGTAGATTCTGTTTTATGTTACGAAAGAAAAACTGAGGTTCTAAAGCATTAAGTGCCTGAGGCCGCCTCACTAACAGGTGCTAGAGTTGGGATTAAAATGCCCCCAAATTGGTCCCAAAGACGAAGCATCTTGCACTGCACTGCACAGCCTCTGCCACTGCACAGTGTCCATCCTGTGTCCATAAAGTTGAAAGAAGAAGGCAGAGAGATGCCTTGTTTGACTTCAGCTGGCAAGATGCTCATAGGGTGACTCAAAGTTTTGCTGCTTTGCTCATGTCTGTGGAATGACTGTAAACGTGCTGTAAGTGTTGATTTTAGGATTACAAATACATTTTAGTGAATAGACAAGTTTGCAAATACAGAAACCAGGAATAATGAAGATCAACTCTACTAACTAAAGACAAATAATGTTTTGCACTTATAGATCTGTGAGTTGTTTGAGTCAGGCCACACTAGCTTGTCAACTATATATGCTAATAATAAATGGATATAAAAATGAACTTAGTAATACTAATATAACAAATAATGCAATTTAATAATATCTGGTTTCAGCAGAGTGTGGTAAAATTTGATAACCAAAGCTAGCCATATACCTGAAATATATCTATGTGATCAGTTCACTGTAAGAGAACCTGACCACTGACAGATACTGGGTTTCCTGTAGCAAAATGTTTCATATACACACTAGTGGTAGTTAAAGACCTGGAGACAAAAGGATATTCTTTGTGACCCAGGAGTGGGAGAAAAAAAAATCCAGAGTCTGAGATTGTTTAAATTCAATTTAACGTATATCCTTATTCTGCTGTT